AAATTTAAATATTCATATTAAATTTTAAAAAAAATTTTTTTATTATAGATATATTAGTGTATCAACCTTTTTGCACCAGACCATATCTTAGAATTAAGAAAAGTAAATCAAATATGATTATTTGGGTAAAAATTTATTATTTTTCTTGTCTTTGCTTATTTTTAAGAAAATTATATTTTGAAATTAAAATAAGTAAATTGAAGTTAATTTTTTGAATGAAAATTTGTTATTTTCCTTTTTTTTTTCTTATTTTTTTTAGGAAATTTTTCATTTTAAAATTAAGGTAAGTAAATCAGAAGTAACTTTTAATGGATTTTTGAATTTTTTTAATTTTTTTTTTATTTTCTTTAGAAAGCTACTATATAATAAGTTAATTGAAGATGATTTTAAGATAGAAATTTTAACTTATAACTTTATTTTACTTTATTTTTTTTATGAATATATCTTATGTATTTCAATTGAAGATGGATTTTTAAAGTGAATTTTTTAATTATTTTTTTATTTTTCTTACTTTTTTTAAAAAAAATCAAATTTAATAATTATGTCTGAATTTAAGTAGTTTTTAGGTTATTTTTATGCTGATTTTAGATAGCCAATCAGAATTAATTATTCATAAATGTTCACTTTCAGGGTTTTCAAGTTCTTCAAAGATTTGATTTCAGTTCTTCAGAATTTTCAGATTTTAATCTCTCTTTATAGCTTCTTATTGAAATTTCAGAAGTAAATTACTTCATGTACATTTGATACATGTCAATGTCCAAAACATGTAATACATGAAGTAATTGCCATTTTGAAAGCAAATAACCTTGTTTTTCTAATTTTTGACATAAATTAGCTGTTGAAAGTGGAGTACCAGAAGCATTTGCTGGCATAATTAAATTTCATATAACTTCTGAAATATTAGGATTTTTGGTCGACCAATTTTTTAATGTTTTGTAAATCCTTATTATTATTCCATTCAGCACCACACTGCGCAAATGTGGCTTCGATATTTAAAACCAAAGCAACTGCTTGTGTAGTATTATGTCTTGATATAAATTTTGATGATGTCGGATGTCTAAAAAATATTTATGAATACAAACACGTATAACAATTTTTTGTATCTACAATTCTGCACCGGACAATATATAAATCAACTTCTAGTATAAATCCTGCCCACTCCAATGTTCGTGACTAGAGATAATCTAACGAAGCATTTTTTTTCACATGCATTTGTACATCAGAAAAATAAATGTATATTACGTTCTACCTAATATGCAAAAAACAGCCGGTGGTGATCGTTTTCATTAAACATCGAAAAGTCTGATTCATTAGCAGTTCACACATCATTTACATAAAAAAGGAGAAAGGCTGAGGAAGGCAACCTTTATTTATTTTTCATTGATTAACATATATTTCATCGAGAAAGAACTTGAAAATAAGGTTGAAAGATTCAAAAGACTTCATAGAGAACGTGAGACTCAGAGAATGCCAGCTCCCGAGTGTCTCTCGAAAAAAACTATTGAGAAAAGAGTAGAAAGAGCAAGGAAGATCTATGACTTATTTTCGACCATTGGGGTAGATCAATTTCAGCATCACAGATCTACAAGTTAAGTTGGGATGATATCATTACATTGAAGGGAAATTCGACTGCGTTACAGTCACTTGATTTTCGCTGACCCTTGCAAAAAAAATACTTTTAGGCTGTCCACTTATTTTGTTCTTCACAATCGCAAAAGCATGAATGGACTGAAAAGGGAATAGCATTCCTTATCGGTATTAGCATTGAAATTCGCATTATGATCGAGAATTTTTTTATAAAAATACTTTTTGAATATATTATTATATAATTTAATTGTTAAATATTTATATTTATATAATATAAATATTATTCAACCATAGGTCACGAATTTTTATTTTTGACCTAATTGGTTCATCTGTTCACTAGATCAAAATATACAAGGAAACAAGGTGCCTATTATAGAAGGAAATGTTGTATGCGATCGTCTATAAAATGAGCATTCTTTATTCGAGTTTTCTGATTCAATTCACTTCATCAAAATGGCACTTCCAGATTATATGACTGACATGAATGCCGTCCTTAAGGACAAAGTGGAATGGCTTCACGGGACAATTCCAGATTATAGTAAAGCTAATAACCTGTTTCTTAAAGGTAAGTGTCGAAGGAAAACATTGAACATTATAATATGGATATTTATCCTACCCTTTACATAGAACGTACAAAGATTCACGAATCCGGCTCCCTTGAAGATCTCGTCACGAACCTGGTCAAAAACTGGGAAAAGGAGGCATCTCACAAGCCCAAGGCTACTGATTGGCGTACAATTGACCACAAAGTTTACAGGTAAAAACACTACATTATCATTATCCTTTTTGTCATTTTGCTTTCATTATTATTAAACAAATACAATAGATTCTCCACAAACGGCGGAGCATGGTCCACAGCGGAAGACATGATCAAAATCGGTACTTATAATGCTCTCATCGGTGAATCAGAATATTATGCGGCAAGTAGAATCATGGATTCTGTGGACTCTCATAAAGTTTTTCGTGGTTGTCTTCGTTCAGGATTCGCTTGGGAATGTTTAGAAGTGTATTCTGGTCCTCCGCGTATTGCTTTTAAATGGCGTCATGTATGTTCATTTTGCTTTTATTTTATTTCATTTTATTTTGAAATTGCTATCGCTATTTTTTTTTCCTTTACGCTAGTGGGGTAAGATGAGCGGTAATCTACGATGTCCTATGCGCAACGGTTCAGATCTTATAGCGGAACCAACAAACGAAATAGTGGACCTTTTTGGCGTTACAGTTGCTACTATTAATGAGAAATTTCAGATTTTGCAGTTAGAAACGTTTTTTAATCCGGATGATTTGTTTTCGCAAATGGTTAAAAATTGTCCTGTTGCTGGGGTTGCTACAAAATAAATCATATCACTTTATATGTATCCTGTTCATAAATTTATATGTATACGAGCTATAAATTTATATTTTTTTTACACCTCTTCTATTAACATCTGTTAACTTAATATACGATTTACATTTCACTGCAGAAATAAAACCCTAAATTCGTGCAATTATAACTTTATTGATTTTATTGATTCGTTGATATGTAGTATATCGCATTATTACAAAGAAATTTATTTAACCGGAATCGCTTTTCCATTTTGATCCGCTATTATAAAATAAAGCTGGAAAGAATATCGTCACGAAATTCTTAAAAATGCGAGCGGAAGAAAAGGTGGTTATTCGAAAAACTTTATATGAGTAGCGATTTTGTCTAATATAAAATCTCTTCTACCAGTATATATTAAAAATGCGTGGATTGCGTGACACTGGCCCAACATATTCATTAAAGATATAATCATAGGCAATTCCTTAGCGACGTTTTTGAGTTTGTAGTTTTATTGGCTTTATTTATTTTATCTCGGATGTACCTTACAGTTCCTTCTTTTTGCCATTTCCAAAGTATAGTTTTATACCAACGGTAGTAAATTTCCATTAGTTATAAAATGAGAATGTGAATGAGTTCCGTAGCTTTAACTAACTGGTGCATCATACCCTGTTCTGTTCTTTAGCGTCCTATAATAATGTTCAACTTAGACTTTTCCCTTAATGTTATTGGCTAGTGATTATGACCCACCGCAGGGGAAATCCTAATTTTAATTATTAAGCTATGATTGAGATCAGCCAAGTGACCAAAATTTGGATTTCCCCCTTTTCTATTGATATTAACAGTAATTTTTTTTTTTTCGTTTTTCTAAATAATATTTCTTATTCTTTTCGAACTTTTATCAACTCTTTCAACTCTTTCTTAACTTTGGTTTTGCGAGTGCTACCTGTTAGTATATCGTAGCTTTAACGATGGACAGCAGAACTATAAAAAAGTGTCTGCTTTTGACGGTCATCAAGTAAGTTATTTAAATTTCATACTGATTGTGCAAAACCTAATGGTATATAATAAGTTTAGAAGAAAGTACAATTCTACTTATTATTCATTCGTGACATTCAAAAACAACTTACGCTAAGAAGATACTTGTATTTATTTTGATTTATAACTAACCAATTTTTTTTTTCTTATTATTTTTTTCTTATTTTAAAAAAAAAGGTTATTACTTCAAACCTTATGTCATAAGAAACCGAATTTGATAATGGTCGTGCTTTCAATTAGTATGGTATTTAAATGCCTATATAAACTCTACATCTTTAGAAACACCATTGACCAAAAAAGCATTTATTTAAGATGAACAGAGTGATGTTTATAGCGTTGGGATGCTTGTGTGGGAGATTTCAAGTGGTCGTTCTCCTTTTTTTAATTGAAGGGTTGAAACTCTATATAGGAATTAGTATTTTATCATATATCAATTGTTCGAAGACTCCCAGGAAATTTCACAAGGTCTTAGATCGCTCGGCATGAGATAATGGGAAAGTAAGAAACTCACGTGTTACAAATGGTGGATAGAAAAGTAGTTAAAATTTTTTAGCTAGAGTAGATAGAGTATTGGGGTAGCGATTGAAATGAGTTCGAATTCAATTTGGTATTCATAATTACAATATAAGAAAAAAAAAATTAAGGAAGAATTAAATTTATTTACAAACGAAAATCCAAACGAAAACAATGAAAAATACTTTTAGAATTACACGAAATGTCAGCAAAATGGATTTTTGAATCACATAAACATACAACAAAAGCATTATTATCAACATCACTTTCATCATTATTATCACCATCACAATCATCATCATCAATTTCTATTCGTTCAAGACGTTCTTCTTCAGTTCCTTTACAAGTTGTAGATTATATTGAAGATATAATTCCACCCTAATCTTAATAATTGTAATAATCTTAAATGTTTATGGTAGTTTCAAGTTTATGATTATACTATTTGGGAGGTTTGCTAGGAAAAAAGAGTTCTGAGACTATATATATTATATTTTTCTGATATGAATATAAGTAATTTAATTTACTGCTTTTCTTTTTTTAATTTCTTAATCAAAATATATCAGCAATAAGATTTGTTTTTTATATTATATTTTTCAATAATATTCTTTCTTAACTATGATTATAACAAAAAAAAAAAAAAAAATAACATAAAAATTGAAAAAATAGATTTTTTAAATTATTAAATAACAAAAAAATTTTTTTTAATAATAAATAGTAATAGAAATTTAAAAAATATATTTACTTTTCTATTTCTTAAATGGAAATTAAACTAAAGTTTAAATGTTAATTAAAAGATAAATAATTTTATTAAGAATAAGAATTTTATTTATTTTTTATAATTAATTCAATTTAAGAAAAATATTATTTATAAAAAACATAATATTAAAAATTTAATACAAAAAAACGCTTATATAGTATAATATAAATTAATATATTAAATAAAAACTTAAAATAAATTTTAGGATTGAATAATATGAAATATAGTCTTATTTGAATTAAACATCATTAAAAAGAAATGATGACAAACTAATCCTCTTGCTATAAGTCACATACATGTATAGCATTATCATATATAACCACAAAATGCTCTTTATTTTGTTTAATTGTTAAAAACCTTACAAATGCTAGCATAGTTAAGATATATAATTAAAGCAGTATAGGTTGGATATTGATAATTTATAATTGTCTTCAGGAAAATTCAACTTTTCATATTATGTATTATCATTATCTTATTCTTTGTTATTAGTTTGTTGTTCTTCGTCATCTTTACCATCTTCATCTTGTCTTTCGTCAATAGCAATCTAGATAAAAATAGAATAAAAGTATTAAAATTTACATTATTTACAAATAAATGCTAATGTTATAATTTATACCTTATTTTCAAGTAAATCCTTTTAATTCTCTACTTTATCTACATAATAAAGTAAACTATCATTCATTTGATTGTACTGCATCTTTAAAATATGAGGAGTAAGAAATTTTTTAATGATAGCATCTATTTTTTTGAAGTATCTCTTAATAATATTTAGCAAACTAACTTTTGGATTTTAATTTAATTGTTTATCCTGTTCAAATTGTTCTTCTTTGTTAAGAAGTGACTGAATATGTGTATTCAATTCAAAAATGTTGCTGAACTTTTGACCAATCATTTAATTAGTGAATTATAACCTTTAATATGCTGAGTAGACTGAATTCCTACATTGAATAATTAACTGATATGATATAATGTCTAGCTAGTTACAATTTATCCAAGTATACGTACAGTTAGAGTTCTTCAAAATCAAATTAAATCAAATATTTAAGCAATTTGAATTTGATTTGATTTTTTCAAATCGAATCGAATCGAATCGAATCGAATTAAATTAAACTTAAATATTTGATCGAATTAATTTGAATCAATTTGAATTTGATCAAATCAAATTAAATTGAACTTAAATATTTGATCAAATTAATTTGAATCAATTTGAATTTGATCGAATCGAATCAAATTGAATCAAATATTTGTCAAATCAAATCAAATCAAATCA